TAAAAATACTGTGCAGGAAGAAGCTACTGGAAAGCGCTGAAGTTGATCAGTTGATCTGCTGCTGAATTGTGAAATTAATCTCAGCACTTCCCTTCAAGATTTCCTTACGGCCCCAAGTTTTGTTTTGTTTTGACCCTTTGCGTTCTGACAGGACTTTGGAAATCTTTCCCTGTTCATTTAAATAGTCTTTGATAATATGCTGCATTGTTCATTTCTTAGTTTTTAATGGGTGTTTTTTAAAAATGACTTTCAATTCTATAACAAGTTGAATTATGTTTTGACATTTTATGCCTTTACTGAGATGAGCACGTCTCTACTTCTCCTTAAATTCCTATAACTCCCATCACAAGGAGAACAAGTGGCCTTGAACATAAATAAAAGGATGCAGGAAAACCTCCCTTACCAATTGGCTAACTACCCTCCCTGATTTATTTGATTCATTCCCCTCGTTTTTGCATCAGACCTCTAGCAGGCAACATTAAAAACACACAGTTCAAATAAAAATATTTAAAGTCATAAGTCTAAATAGCCTGATGACACCAAATCTTGAATGATCTTGGAAGCTAAGCAGGGGCAGCCTGCAGGGGCAGTATTTGGATGGGAAACCAATAATGGATACCAGGTGTTGTAACTTATATTTCAGAGCAAGGAACTAGAAAAACTACCCTTGAGTATTTGTTGCGTAAAACAACCCTAGGAAATGCATGGGGTCACCATAGGTCAATGGCAACTTGAATGCATGTGCGCCCATACATGTGCCCACCCAAAGACATTAATTACAAATGTCTGATAAAATACAGTAAAAACAGTTCAAAACAAAATGTGTCATCTATATTATTATTCTATTATTTCCAAGCTTCCAGTAAACACGACACTTTTATAAATTTGCAAGAAATAGATTTCAAAGTGTTAATTATACCATATAAGCTGGAAATCCTCATAGAACAGATCTACTTCTGCTTCTTCAGCAGCTGTGGTTGGGGCGTATATTTGGATCACTGTAATGTTGAAAGGCTTTCCTTGCACTCGAACTGAGATCATTCTGTCATTTTTTGGGTTGTATCCAAGCACTGTTTTAGCAATTTTATTATTAATGATGAAGGCTACTCCATTTCTTCGGTGTTCCTCTTAATCATCATCACCATCATCATCTAATAACTTATTAATCGCCCTCCATCCGAGAATGCTCTAGGCGATTTACAGCTAAATTATAAAAGATAAAATACATACATACAAAAATTAAAAATTAACAGAGATCGAATGCTCTAGTAAAAAGCCAGGTCTTAAGTGCGAGAGTAAAGCCAGGTCTTAAGTGCAGTAGTAGATCTGGTGGTCCCAGATCTACTACTGGTCCATTTCAGTTCGCTGACCCCCATAATGTCTATCTTTAGTCTTGACATCTCACCAGTAACAACATCCAGTTTGCCCTGACTCATAGATCTTACATTCCAGGTTCCTATGGTGTGTTGATCTTTAGAACAT